TCTCTTGAAGCACTCTTTGTAACGGTTTGTTGACGATGCTCATATCAAGTTCCTGCGCCTAACTGCCGGATCCAAGCTTTCACCCCAGGTTTGCCTGACTGCAGCACGTTCCACAAGCTTACATTGTCTCCATTATTCTCTCCTTCATCAGAGAGGATGTTCTCTCTCCCAAGTTACCCCAGTCTGTGTTTGAACTTCATCGTTCATTGTAAGAGGTATATTTAGAGGGAGCTCCTGCTGGGTTACATAATTGGACAATCGGTGTATTAGTCACTTTCATGCTGCTGTGACAAACTTCCCGACAGAAGAGGCAACAGGCTAAAGGAAGCTTTGTCTGGTTCTGCTCTGGAGAGCCTTTCAGGCCATCCCGTTGTCAGAGATGCAGAGGAGCAGCCCCCTTCACAGCAGTGGGAGAAGGTGACGTCACACAGGCTGTTCACATCCCAGTGAAACTGGAAGCTGGCAGACCAACTTTAATAAACCAGGACCAGACTATAGTCAAAGGAAGGCCTGGCCCTATTTACCTGCTTCTGCCAGCTAGACCTGCCTGGTCTCCTACAGGTTACTCAGCCTCCCGAAATAATGCCACCAGCATGGGAGAAAAAGTTTTGCAAACACAAGCCAGTGTGAGATATTTCAGGTTCAAACTCTAACAGGCAAGGGCAGGTATGGTGATATTTGCCTTAATCCTATCGCTCGGCCTGCAGAGGTAGATGGGCCTCTGTGAGTTCACGGCCAGCCTATCTTCATAGTGAGACCCTGTTCACTGTCATTTGTTTGTTTTAATTTAAACCCCAATAGCCAGGAAGTACCGAAGAGCCATTGCTGCTTCTCTTCCCCGTGACCCGTACTGCACACGCCAGCCAAGCTCCCAAGCATCAGGTTCATCCGCCGCTTTATAATATCCTTAGTGCAGGCTGCTGCCCCAAGTGCTGTAACTGTCGCTTGGCTTGAGTTGGCACTGGAACAAGGGAGTGAAGCCAGGCTCAGCATCCACTGTAGGGTTGAGTGACATCATTTTCCTGAAACAGGAGAGCCTGATGAGCGCCTGAGGTCTGTCTCTGCCCACTGTCCCCACACAGTGTCCCCACACTTGGCTTCTCTGTGTTTCCTGTCATTTGAAAATGTGCGACGCTCAGGGATGTCTGCCCCTTTTTTTGGAGAAATTAAGCTTAAATGAATCAAAAACACATGCATCAGCTCTTCCTCAGAAAAGACTCTCACATTTTAAAATGGAAAGGAAAACACACAGGACAAAGACCAGATGGATTCCTAAATATGAAAGCAGGGTTGGAATGTTTTGGCAAGGCCTAATCAGTCAGGCACACCCAGCCCAGACTTTCCCTCACAGCTGTGGAAAGACAGACCACCTCTGGAATGAGTGGCCCTTGGTCTGAGGGTGTCTGTGGAATCAGAAAGCATGAGTTCATGACACACCAATGCCACTGGGATCTCTGTGACCAAACAGGCTACTTGGTCCTTAAAATTTTACTTATCTATTAAGAGGAAGGAGGTTAGGGGCTGGACAGACAGCTCAGCAGTTAAAAGCACATACTGTTCTTCAAGAAAACCTGGGTTCAGTTCCCAGCACCCACATCTGGTGGGTGTCTTAAGAATTAAATGAGCCTGGCAGCTAATTTAATTAATTAAATGAAGTGGCAGCATACACCAGCTTGGAAGGCAAAAGGCAAGCAGATCTCTGTTAGTTCGAGACCAATCTGGTCTACAGAGCTAGTTCCAGAACAGCCAGGGTTACACAAAGAAACCCTTTTTTAAAAAACAAAGAATTAAAGAAGACAAGATGTGTGGTGTGGCAGTTGATAAACAGTTAATAAATAACAGTGAGTAGCATCACATTATCTGAAATAAAACTCTGGGTGTTGAATTCTCTTTTCACTGTTGTTTAAACTATGATCCAAGCAGTCTTCCGGCACCCGTCGGGGTCAATAATCTACAGTAACTAAATGAGAATGTGATGGTCTAAAGCCATCAGCAGATGCTGTTAGGGCTGAACTGGAGAAAATGAAAATTGTAGTAGGGACTGGCCAGATGGGTCCCCGAGCCTGACGACCTGAGTTCAATCCCCAGAATCCACTTATGGTTGAAGAGAAGCAACCCCAGCACACTGCTTTCTGACCTTTGCTCACATACAGCAGCGTGATCCTCCCTCCCTGAAATAGTGTTTTATTTATTTATTTATTTATTTAATGTTTCTTTATTTATTATGTATACAACATTCTGTCTACGTGCATGCCTGAAGAGGGCACCAGGCCTCATTACAGATGGTTGAGAGCCACCATGTGGTTGCTGGGAATTGAACTCAGGACTTTGGAAGAGCAGGCAATGTTCTTTAACCGCTTAGTCATCTCTCCAGTCCCCTGAAATAGTGTTTTAAAAATGAACAAACAAAACAACCAAAAAAGCTGTCGCTGCGGGCTTACAAGGCTGTTGAAGAGACAGGACAGCAGTCAGAGGTGCTTGAGAAAACCACAGCACAATTTAGCTGTGGATCAGCCAGACCCAACATTAAGCCTTTGGCCCCACGAATGCACAATCTGTACTGGAGAATGATCTCGATCAGGGAAAAATATCAGGAGGATTCTTGAATTTGAATTGTAAGAGTTCTTAGTGTTTAATGAGCCTGAAGCCTAGGTTTGTTTTGAGTGGTTTGAGACAGGGTCTCATCTCACTGTATAACCTTGGCTGGCCTGAACTCACTCTGTAGATCAGGCTGGCCTCAGACTCACAGAGAGCCACCTCCCTGTTTCCTGAGTGCTGGGGTTAGAAGATGGCATGAGCCACCACACCTGACTGGTTTGTTTTTAATTTTTTTTTAAATTTTATGTGGCTGGTGCATGTAGGTCTATGTACTATGTATGTGTTTGGTGCCAATGGAGGCCAGAAGAGAGCATCAAATCCCCTGGAACTGAAGTTAATAGATGCTTGTGAGTCACCATGAAGGTGCTGAGAATTGAACCCTGAGTACTCTGGAAGAGCAACCAGTGCTCTTAACCACTGAGCCATCTCTCCAGCCCTAAGACTAGTTGTGGTTTTAGTTTTGTAATTTTGTTTTTGGTTGTTTGATTGTGTTTTTTTTTTTTTTTTGACAGGGTTTCTCTGTGTAGCCCTGGTTGTTCTGGAATTCAGAGATCCACCTGCCTATGCCTCCCAAGTGTTGGGATTAAAGGTTTGTGTCACCACTGCCTATGTTTCGTTTTGCTTTTTTAATTTAAAAAAGTATCATTCATTTTATATGTAAGAATGATGACTGTTTTGTCTGAATGTATGTCTGTGCATCACGTGTGTCTGGTGTCTTCCATGCCAGAGGAAGGTACCAGATACTCTGGAACTCCAGTCCTATATTTTATAATACAAGTTTGCATATGTACACACTCACACACATGTGTGTATGTGTGTGTGTGTGTATGTGTGTATTAAAAACTTGTGTAGAAAGATGGAAAGATGATTCAGTGGTTAAGAGTTGATGTAGGATTCCTCTCTGAATGGTGTGAATATGTTTTATTACCACTGGTTAATAAAGAAGCAGCTTTGGCCTATGGCAGGGCAGAATAAAGCTGGGAAATAAAGTGCCAAATCCGAACAGAGATATATAGCAAGAATAGGCCGAGTCAAAGAGACACCATGTAGCTGCCGAAGGAAACAGATGTCGGAACCCTTATCCGTAGGCCACAGCCTTGTAGTGATGCACAGATGAATAAAATGGGTTAATTTAAGATGTCAGAGGTAGCTAGAAATACACCTAAGCTATCAACCAAGCAGGGTTGTAATTAATATAGTTTCTGTGTCTGGGCAACTGGGAACAAAAGAGCAGTCTCTGGCTACAAAGAGTGATTATTGCTCTTCCAGAGGATCCAAGTTTGGTTCCCAGTACCCACCTGTACCACTTACAGCTGCCTGTAACTCCAGCTTCAGGGGATGCCTTCTTGTGGCTTCTGTGGACACCCACATACACATGGCAGATACAGAGATGCACACACTTACATATAAACAAAACATAAAATAAAGACATGCAGAGAAAGTGAAATAGAGAGAAAACTCCTTAGTGGATATGCAGTTTCCTTGTGGCGTGATGAAATGCTTTGGAACCAAATGGAGGTAAGGGTTGTGTTACTGTGGACATATTGAATGATTCTGAATGAATAAATTTATGCTATATCAAATTCACATCAATTAACAAATTTGTGAAAGTATAAAAGTAGTATTTTAAAGGAGTAGCCCTATTAGATATTAAACACATAAAATAAATAATCAAATTTTTTATAAACCCACAAGTATGACATATTAAATGTAGAAAACTTGGAACCACAAGAATACTGTGTATAACCCTGAGTTATAAAAGGTATTTTTTTTCTAAGTTTGACATGAGCTCCAGAGGTAAAAATGGAAAGATGTGTACATTTGACAAGACAATATCAGCCATCTCCCAGCCTCTGCCGTCAGCCAGCTTCTGTCTAGTTGACAGAAGTTATGAGCAAGGTTGCAAGATAAACAACATGCCGGGATATGTGGCTCTTCTGGCAGATTTGCTGATTTCTCTAACACACAGAAATTTCTTCAGTCCATAGGAACAGGTAGGAGCTGGTGCTGTGACTGTGGTGGAGGTCTTGCACAACATTTATGGAACCCTGGGTTTGATCCCTGGCACCTGACACACACTCACAGGAGAGAAACAAAGAAAACACCCATGAATTCTGGGGGAAATGAACAACTGGATAACTTATCAAGGAATAACTGGTTGATAAATCTGAAATACGTTTAATTTCATTAGTGGTTTAAAAATACAGATAAGGAGCTGAGAGATGGCTCAGTCGTTAAAGGTATGTGCTTCAGCCGGACGTGGTGGCCCTTGCCTTTGATCCCAGAACTTGGGAGGCAGAGGCAGGTGGATCTCTGACTGAGTTCGAGGCCAGCCTGGCCTACAGAGTGAGTCCCAGACAGCCAGAGTCACACAGAAAACCCAAGTTTACAGGGGGCCAGGTATGGCTCAGCAGGTAAGAGCTCTTGCCCCAAGCCTGGTGACTTAAACTAGACCAGGGAACCCACACAGTGGAGAGAGAGAACAGGGTCTTCCTGTTTTTACACATTGGCGTGCCCATATGCCCCCATAGAAATACGGTATAATAAAAATATAGTAAAGTCAGTCTTTGAGCACCATCTTATGGAGATGATGACTATTACCATACTAAATTATGACTAATTTGCCATGCTAAAGCAGACTGGGTTGACATGTGCCTTTTGTTATGTCTGTGCTGAGTGTGTCTACAAGTGCATAGCACATATAAAAGTATCTGTGAAAAAGACCAAAGGTTATTCCCCTCCTCTTCCTCCTCTTCCTCCTCTTCCTCCTCTTCTCCCCTGACCCTTTTTGAGACAGATGTCTCACTACTATGTAGCCCTGGATATCCTGGAACTCACTGTTTATACCAGGCTGGCCCGGGCCTCAAAGAGATCTGTCACCTTTGCTTGCTGCCCCTGTAAATGATGGAATTAAAGGCCTATACCTCCATGACCTGGTACCCGCTTTATTATATTTAAAAATGTTTAATTTTAACTATTACAAGTTAAAATCATTCTTAGCTCATGGCCCATATAGAAATAAATGTTAGCTGAGATTTGACCCTGAAAGTTGTCCTCTGACCTCCACAATGTGTGTGTTCATGTCACACACACACACACACACACACACAAGCACTCTCTCTCCTCCTCCTCCTTCTAATAGTAATAATAATAATAATAATTAATAGAAGCACAAAAAAGCTGAATATGATGCCTTAAATTCTAGCATTAGGGAGGCAGAGGCAGGCGCTCCTGACCAGCCTGGGCTACACAGTGAGTCAAGTTTTCTAGCACTGACTTACCTATCATTTCATTCATGTTGACCTAAGTTCTAGCCCCAGCATTAAAAATATAAACAAAACAGAAAAAATATTTCTGGAAACTGTATTATTTATTAAAAAATATTTTTGGGAGTGTAGGTGTCCGCTTGCCCGCATGCCTGTGTGAGGGGAAAGTGTAGCATAAATTATAATTGGTCTTAATAAAAATTTGAAATCAGCTTTTGGGGTGAAAGCTGAAGAATCAGAGAAGCAGAGTGGCCAACCACTAGATTCTTGCCTCTACCAGTGCTCAGACCAAAGGGGTGATCCTGTCCTCAGACTGCTGCCTCAGACCACATCCTCAGCCTGTACCCTCAGACTGCATCCTCAGACAGCTGCATCACCAAAGCCCACCCCAGCATGGGTGACAGGTCACAAAGCCGGGAACCTGGAGCACACTGCACAGCAGGTTGGAGAGTGTCCTTTCCCTGTGCCTCAGTTGGTCTAAGCCTTTTCCAGTCTCCTCAGCTGGCTTATTTCTTGTTTATTCGTTTTGTCGGTTTGTTCGGTTTGGTTTGGTTTGCCTTTTAGCAGCTTTGGCTGCTCTTCTGAGAAGAGCTCTCAGTTTTTATCGCTTCATTTGTCAGGGAGCGGCCTAGTGGATCTGGTCAGTTTCAGGGACTTCCCTAACAGCTTCTGCCTTGCGGCTTAAGGCCTTCTGGACAGAGAATGTTTCAATCTCCCAGGAAACTGTTACATAGCCGTACACATGTGGAGGCCAGACGTCTGCTTCAGGTGTCAAAATCCAGATGCCTTCCATCTTTTTAAAGATTCTTTTATTTTGTTTTTTTGAGACAGGGTTTCTCTGTGTAGTCTTGGCAGTCCTGGTGCTGGCTCTGTAGACCAGGCTGGCCTTGAACTCAGAGAACTGTCCTTGCCCATCCACCAGTTTTTAAATTACAGAATTAAGTCGGGGGGCTGGAGAGAAGGATCAGCGGTTAAGAGCACTGACTGCTCTTTCAGAGAACCAGGGTCCACTTCCCAGTACCCACAGGCTGACTCACAACTGCCTGTAACTTCAGTTTTAGAGTACCCAATACTCTCACACAGACAAACATGTAGGCAAAACACTAAGGCACATAAAATAAAAATTAATTAATTAAAAATTAATTCAGAGCCAGGCATGGTAGTGCAAGTCGAAAATCCTAGCACTGGGAAGGCAGAAGCAGGCAGATCTCTGTGAGTTCAAGACCAGCCTGGTCTATACCGTCAGTACCAGAACATCTACGGCTGTGCAGAATTACTAAGTCCCCAAAAAAATCATTTTTGCTTATTTATTTATTTACTTATTTATTGTGTGCATGTATTGTATGGACACGTATGTATAACAGAACACATGTGGAGGCCAGAGAATAAATTAGCAGAGGTGATTTTCTCCTTCCATAATGGACCAAACTCAGGCCATCAGTCTTGGTGACAAGTGCTTTTAGCCATCGAGCCATCATACTGGTCCCATTTTGTCTTTTGAGACAGGGCCTTTCTTCACTGGAATTCACCAAGTAAGTAGGCTGGCTGACTGCCTAGGCCCAGTGATCTGCCTGTATGTACCTCCCCAGTGCTGGGATTACAAATTTGAATTATAACGCCTGGTTTTTTGACATGGGTTCTGGGGATGAAACTCATGCAGGAGCTTACACTTAAAGACAGTACTGACAGAGCTTTCTCTCTTTGCCTTTTTTTTTTTTTTTTTTTTTTTTTTTTAGTGAGACAGGGTTTCTCTGTGTAGCCCTGGCTGTTCTGAAACTCACTCTGTAAATCAGGCTGGCCTCGAACTCAGAGATTCGCCTGCCTCTGCCTCCCAAGTGCTGGGATTAAAGGCGTGCGCCACCACCACCTGGCCCCAAGTCTTTTTCTAATTTGTGTTTGTTGTGTTGTGTGCAAGTGTGTGTGCGTGCACGCTTGCCCATTTGTGTGCATGCAGAGACCAGAATTTTGATGTTCTGTATTTCCTCTATCCCTCGCCTTCTTAAATTACAAGATGGTTGTGAGTCTGAAAGAGCTGTCAGGCCTACTTAGGTCGCCAAATTTGTCGTCTCCCATTAGTGCCTGAGCGAAACGAGTGTCTGCTTAACCGGGCACTTCGCAAATTTTGATTTTAAGTGCAAACACCCTAAAACGCCTGTGTTTATTTACTTCTTTACTATTTCAGGATGCGCTCATGCTCGCGCGCACACATTTTGAGGCTTGCCGTGGGGCGGATCTTGCATTTTCTGAGACCATCATACCCCGATGTCAAGTGCTCGTAGGGTCCCTGGAATAGCTTTGAAACAACAGCGACAACAAAAATATAAAATTTTTTAAAAAAATTAAAACGATAAAAAACAAATTCAGGGTGAAGTTTGTTCAAAAAGTCACACCCACAATTAAGACTCAAAATACCTTGGCCATGAAGGAAACCTGAGCAGCTTGCTCCCAACCACCTAACTCTACAAGGGTTTCATTTCCTCGCCCTCAGAAAATGGCCACAGCAGTCTATGGGGCTGGCAACGCGGGGGAATCCTGGGAATTAGGGGAGGGGGACCAGGACACCACATGAAGATGTTGACACAGAGTGCAGGGCGGAGGGCTTCAGGGTCCTCGCCAGTTGCTGTGCAATTTCCCTAATCTTCCTAGCACCGCTCCCGAGCCCGTAGGCGCGTGCCTCTTCTCAGCCAATCAGCGGGCCGGTGCGCATCCACTCCGGCCAATCCCAAACGAGCTTGCTTTGGGCGGGAAAAATCGCCGAAGCGGCCTGAGCAAGCCCTGAGCGAAGTCGGCTAACTGCTCCTTCTTCGCCCTGTCCCAGGGGGGGGTAACAGACCCCGGAGGCGGCCGCCCATTGGCTGGGCGACGGGCCAATGAGGGGTGCGGGATGAGGGGCGCCGGGCCTCCTAGGCGTGGGCTGGGCGGGGCGCCGGCGGCCGGTGCCTAGTCGCGAGGCTCGGACAGCAATGTAACGGCTCCTCGCCCGTCGCACCCTCTCGGCCCCCCAGCCACAGAGCGGCTCCAGGCGGCGCCGAGGTGGGGTGCGGGCTGAGGGAGCCGGGCCTCGACGTCCTCCCTCATCCCCGTCCCCTCCGGAGCTGGAGCTCGGCCAGGAGGAACCGGGGGACCCTCATGGAGGTGAGCTCCGGAGACACCTGCCGGCCCCGTCACCCCCAAGGCCTGAGGGAGGGACCTGAGGTAACCGGCGGGGCTTCGAGGATGGCGCCCCGGGAGCGACGCTGAGGAGATGGCCGGTGGCGGGTGGGGAGGCGGGTCTCTCGGCGACGCCTGGCTAGCTGTGGCGTTGAGGCGCTGTGGCCCCGCGGCAGCTGGCGCCTGTCAGAGCCGTCGAGGGACGGCTTCAGGGGGTTGGTGCGCAGCGGGGCGGGGGGAACGAGGAGAGCCGGGGACCCCCGAGTCAGGGTTCCCTCAGGACCTGCTCGGTGGTGACCTGGCGTTTCCTTGTCCCGAGCAGCCGAAGGTGGCGTTCCGGGGAGGTGCGAACCGGTGCTGGAACCTCAGCGTGGACACCAGCAGTCGGCTGTCCGACGTGTTCAACAGCATGATGCTGACCGGCTCCACGTCCTTCTACGACTGCTACAAACCCCAGGTCCATGACCAGACCCGACGCCTGCCCTCCCTGCCCCTCCCTGTTCCTCCCTGCCCCTCCCTCCCGTCCCTTCCCTTTTCTTTTTTCTTTTTTCTTCGAGACAGGGTTTCTTTGTAGCTTTGGAGCCTGTCCTGGAACTAGCTCTTGTAGACCAGACTGGCCTCGAACTCAAAGAGATCCGCCTGCCTCTGCCTTCCGAGTGCTGGGATTAAAGGCATGCGCCACCACCTCCCTTCCCTCCCTGCCAGCCCCTTCCCTTCCCGTCCCCCTCCCTCCCCTCCCTCCCTTCCCTGCCCTTCCCTCTCCCTTCACCCACCCCTCCCCTCCTGTCGGTGCTCTAGCTCAAACCCAGGACCTGGTACATCCAAGCTACAACTCCAGTCCTGTATAGATTGAAAAAGTTGAACAGAATCAGAAAACTGGGGGAAACTGGTTTTTTTCTTTTAATATTTAAAAAATTACATATATAGAACCCAAATTTTTAAAATTACATTTTTGGTGGGATGGAAACATGCATGGCGTACATGTGGAGGTCAGAGGACTTTTCAGAGATTTCTCGCCCTCCATCATGTGAGTCCGGGACTTTGAACTCAGGTCCTCAGAAATAGCAGCAAATACCACAGTCCCCTCCCCAAAGCCATCTAACTGGTTCAGAGGAAAACATTTTAAATAGATTTTGCATAATACACAGCTGGCCTTGGAAATAAGAGAGGATTTTTTTTTTAATTTTGAAAATTTTGTTATGGGGCTGGAGAGATGGTTCAGAGGTTAAGAACACTGATTGTTCTTCCAGAGGTCCTGAGTTCAATTCCCAGCAACCACATGGTGGCTCACAACCATCTGTAAAGAAATCTGGTGCCCTCTTCTGGCCTCTAGGCACAAATGCAGACAGTACACTGTAAAGAAAGTAAATAAATCTTAAAAACAACAACAAAAAAAAAGAAGAAGAAAATTTTGTTACGTATGATAGCTTTTCCAGCGTGTATGGCAGCGCACCACCTCTGGAGACCAGAAGAGGGCATCAGATCACCTGACATGTATGCCGCCATTGGAAGAGCAGCCAGTGCTCTTACCACTGAGTCATCTTTTCAGCCCCAAAAAAGAATTTTCTTTCCTTTCCTTCTTTTTTGTTTTGTTTTGTTTTTTTGTTTGTTTTGTTTTAAATAAGAGCTCAAGTCCAGGACATGGCACTTGCTATGTTCTATACATCAGAGCTACAAGTTTTGTCCCACATATGTTGAAAAAGCTCCACATGGAAACAGGGTTTTGTTTTTAATTTTTTATTACTTTTATATTGTCCTATATAGAACCCAAATATTTTAAACTAGATTTTGTGTGTGTGTGTGTGACAAACATACCATAGCATACACCCTAAGAAAACATTTTTCATTGGCTCATTTCCATCCTGTTCTTAATATAACATATCAGTAATGTAAGAAATTTCATGCTTATTTAGTAAGAAGATATTGTTTTATAGTAAGCTTTTATTGCAAGCACTTTTTTAGTTTTTAATTTCAAACAATTAAAATATAAAAATTTTATACCTTTAATTTTCTTTATTGTGTCTTTAATTACCTCACTGAAATGTGTTGTTTTGTTTTTTGTTTGTTTGTTTTGGCTTTCAAGACAGGGTTTCTCTTCCCTGTGTACCGTGGGTGCCTTGGAATGGGCTCTGTAGTCCAGACTGGCCTTGAACTCAGAGATCTGTCTCCCAAGTGCTGGGGTTAAAGGCATGTGCCACAAGTCCTGGCAAGACAGTTTTGTTAATCAGGCATAGAATAAATTCTTTATTGTTTTGTTGCTGTTTAATGTACATGAGTGTTTTCATCTGCATGTGTGTATGTGCACAATGTGCTTGCCTGTGGAGGCCAAATGAGGACTGCATCCCTGAAATTGGAGTTACAGAAGGTTGTGAGCCACCATGTGGGGGCTGAGGGTTGAACTGGGTCCTCTCCAAGAGCAACAAATACCCTTAACTGCTGAGACATCTCTCTTGGCCCCTGCAAATTCTCTTTATTTTGTCTTTTTTTTCTCAATGCTGAGGACTGAACCCAGGGCCTTGCGCATGCTAGGCAAGCGCTCTACCACTGAGCTAAATCCCCAAACCCAAGTTCTCTTTATTTGAAAAATTTTAAGCAGGTCATCAATATTGGTATACTTTCAGTTATAACAATACATAGGAATAATTTAATCTGAATTATAACTTACTATAATATATCCATTTGCAGGTTGAGAAATTGAAGCTCAGTAGCTTGATTTATGCCTTATATAGAACCTGGATCTTTTCTTCTCTCTCTTCTTTTTCTTTCTTTTTTTTTTAATTAATTAATTTATTATGTATACACATGCCAGAAGAGGGCACCAGATCTTATCATAGATGGTTGTGAGCCACCATGTGGTTGCTGGGAATTGAACTCCGGACTTCTGGAAGAACAGTCAGTGCTCTTATCCTCTGAGCCATCTCTCCAGCCCTTCTTTTTCTCTTTTAAAATCGTCTCATAACTCAGACTGGCCTTTAACTCGCCATGTAGCTGGATATGACAGTGCACTTTTGAGCTTCCTGTCTCCACTTCTCCAGAGGTGAGAGTATTGGTATGGCCACCATACCCAGGTTAAGTGATGCTGGCTTTAATCCATTTAATTATTTATATGAAGTATATAAGCAATTAACATTTATCCAAATATTTTAAATATTACCAAACTTTCATAAATATCTTAACAGAAAACAGTCCGTATATTTCCCACTATATTATTTTAGTTGATTGTTTTTATCAAAAAGTACTTGCTTGGACTTGGGGCTATAGCTTAGTTGGTAGAGTGCTTGCCTAGCACACACAGAGCTCTGAGTGTGATACCTAGCACTGAATAAAGTGGGTATGGTGGTACAGACCTGTAGTCCTCCTGCTGGAAAGGTGAGAATGAATGAGCAGACATTCAAGGTCATCTTCAGTTTTTGAGACAGAGTTTGATACTGACCAGGTTTGTCTTGAACTCATCATATAGTTTAGGCTAACCTTGTACTAATCGTCCTGCCTCCATCTCACAAGTGCTGGGAGTGCAGATGAGTACCATTACACCCAGCTGCTTGTATTTCCTTCTAATTGTAGTAATAGTTTTAAAATTTCTGAGACATATTTATCTTTTTATTATTTATTTTACAATATCTCTTGGAAATACAGAGTAGGTTCAAAATTCAAAAGTTGTGGAAAAGACCTTGGTTAGGAGTAAGATCTTGAGTTTTGGCTTAATTTCATCATGTATTTGCTGAGTAATCTGTAGCCTTGTTTTTTGGTTGTTTTTTTTGTTTGTTTGTTTTTTGGTGGTTTTTTTTTGTGATGATAGGGTAGTTTTATGCCACTGAGCTATTTTCTCGACTCAATTCTTTGTTTTAAAATAGAGAAGCCAGGTGGGACTGTGCCTGTAATCCCAATGTTTGGGAATCAGAGACAGGAGGATTGCTGTGAGTTCAAGACCAGCTTGGTCTATAAAGTGGGTTCCAAACCAGCCTGAGCTACAGAGTAAGACCCTATCTCAACAACAACAGAGAGTATTCATTTCCTAAGTTGACTAACCAAAATAATGTATGTGGAATTTATATGAAAATTAGAGTTTTAAATAGTTGTATGTTTTCCATTTAATAAATTTTGTAAAGCTCTGAATGGTGATGCACTCCTATAATACCAGATCTTGAGAGATGAAGGAAGGAAGATCAAAAATTTTAGGCCATTTTTGGTGAGTTCAAGGCCAGTCTGGACTACATGATTCTCTATCTAGGAAAAAAAGTGAATTTTGTGTATAATTTACTTAAAATAATACTACTATCTATGCAAAGTCTTCTGTGTTTATAATATTAGATCTACAGCAATTATAGCTATCAATAGGTTGTTGCAAAGAGAAAGAAACCTAAAGGAATGATGTCTTTTTCTATTTTCTAACTTAAAATAACATTAATATTAAAATTATTATATATAATGTGTACATGTGAGTATAAGTGCACACATTCTATGGCACACTTATAGAGGTGTTTTGGACTTTTGGAGTTTTGTTCTTCCATTGTGGGTTCCAGATATAGAACTCAAGTCCAGCAGGCTTTCAAGAACAAGCACTTTTACCCTCTGATCCATTTCACCTGCCGATCCCCTTGTTTCTAATATAAGGGAGCTATTAATGGAGATTTTATCTTTAGTTTAACAAAAGCTCTAGATCTGATCAATAACTTTTTGTATATAAAAATTTATTGCAACACAAACATGTTCATTTGTTTACATAACGTCTGTAGTTGCTCAGCATCAGTGTGGTAGCAGAGTTGAGGCATTTCAGTCGACTGTAATAGCCAACAAAGGTTTATATTCCAGCTTTTGGCAGAGTTCCTGAGTAGCTAAGATAATTATGTTCTAAAGTTGAATGTTGTAATGCCTGCATTATTATGTTTTCTTATTATTTTCCTAATACTCTCCAATAAATGAAATTTTGGTCTCTCTGATGTACAAAAATTTCTTTAAAATTTTAGAATGAAGACAATGTAGACCTAAGACAGACCTGCACTCCACTCTCTTCATCAACAGAGTACGCAAGCTCTATAGACTCCTCACTCTTCTACGCGCCGTGGTCTACTTACGGAGATGATATTAAACAACCTTCTAGTTCTCAGATCAGTGTAAAGAACAGGTAAATATGAATAGTTTTCTCAGGCTAAATGGTTGGGTTTTTTTTTAAGTATGATTTCATAACGATCAAAGTTTATTGGATTTCTTTCTTTTCTATTTTAATATAGTCAGAATATAATTTTATCTTCATCAAAGTTTTAAGAAAGCTTAAACCAGGCAGTTATTTGTGTATAATTTTTAGTTAATGTTTTTAGACAGTGATTCATTACTTATTTGTTGTTTTTCTGCCTTTACCTCTTGAGTGCTGGGATTGTGGTAATACTTAGTCTCAAATTTCTTTAAAAAGATTTTTAGATTATTTTCTGTGGGTGCTGATAACTGAACCTGAGTCCTCTATAAGAGCAACAAGTGTTCTTCAGCACTGAACCACTTCTCAGGCCCCAAAACACAGGCTTCTTACGTTCTTCTTTTTAAAGATAATATCTTTAATATTTAAGAAATGTGTTTGTATGTGCACCCATGTGTGGTATAGAAGTCATAGGACACAGAAGTCAGAGGACAACTTGAGAGAGTTGGTTCTCTTCTACCATGCAGGCCCTAGGGATGGAGCTCAGGCTTTGTGGTAAGCACCTTTTCCCACTGAGCCTTCTTGCTAACCCTAAATGTAATTAAACTTAAAATGTTTAGGGTTAGGGAACTGGAGAGATGGCTCAGTTGTTGCACTGGCTGCTCTTCCAGTGATTCTGAGTTCAATTCCCAGCAACCATATGGCAGCTCACAACCATCTGTAATGGGGGCTGATGCTCTCTTCTGGAATGCAGGCCTACATGCAGATAAAGCACTTATACTCATAAAATCCTTACATAAATACAAATTTTTAACTATTTAGATCTAATTTTTATCCAATTTTAAGTTTTCACTGGTTTTCCTTATACAACAAGTAGTGTTTTATGCAATATGAAACTTTTAAAGTATTTTCTATCCTGCAAACGATAAGAGCTTACTACATGCCAAATATTCATTTACTTGGGGAAATAGAACTAATACAGTGAATATTATTTAATCTTGCAAGTAATTAAGATAACAACAATAATAACATACTAGGGACTTGCAAGTGAAAATTAAAAAAGAGAGCAAGGCCAGGTGTGATGGTACTTGCCTTTAATCCTTGAACTCTGGGTTCAAGGACAGTCTGGTATTCATATATATACACATGTGTGTATATACACATATAAGTGTGTGTGTATGTATGGGCTAGAGAGATGGATCAGTCATTAAAGACTAGGCTCATAACCAAAAATATAAAATATATAGAAACATATATACATAACATTACAGAAAACTGTTAGAAGGATTAGCTTAGGAGTGATGTTTTACATTTATTTTAATTACATATGAGAGAGCTATTAATGGAAGTTTGATGCATCTTCAGTTTAAGAAGGAAGCAGATATTTGTTGAATCCTACTAATTAAAAACATTGAAAAATTAAAGCTATAGGTAATGCAATATTAGACTATATAATACACAATTCTTCAAAAATAATTGAAGTCAATAGATAATAGATACCATTAAAAAATTCAAGGGCCAGGTGTTATGGCACAGTCCTTAAATCCCAGCACTTAGGAGGCAGAGATAGGCAGATTTCTGTGAGTTCAAGGCTAGCCAGGTCTACATAGTGAGCTCCAGAAAAGCCAGAGCCACCGTGATGTACATGTCAAAAGAGAGAGAGAGAGAGAGAATTCAAACTTCTCAGAAATTTGTGTTAAAGTGAAACAAGGACAGGCTCCAAAGCCACAGAGAAACCCTGTCTTGAAAAACCAAAAATAAATAAATAAAATAAAAAAGAAAAGTGAAATGTTATCTTGACCAATCTGTCTTTTCTTCCACGATGATAAATATTAATGGTTTGGCAAATATTGAATCAAAAATTTTCTAGATCTATATATACAAAGAGAATTTCATATTGAATCTTTATAAATTAACATTGTATATATAAATTTATACTGTGTAGTGGAAAAGAGTATTGGATTTGATGGCACCAGTGTTTGTTCAGTTTGTAAGTCACATATTCTTGTAATATAATTTTAATACTTCAAATTATTATCCATTCAACAGATAACTAGATGATTACTAATGTTTACCTTTCTCAATTAAATATTTAGTGTTAGCCAAATATATTTTAAATTCTAAAATATCCCACCAATCTGAAGTGTTGGAAAGAAAAATATATTATCTCTTGTTGGTTCAGGCAGGTTACCTAAGCTGGCCTCAAACAAGTTTTTGTTGTTCTGAGACCCTCTCTCTACTTAATCCTGGCTGCTCTGGAATTACTATGTAGACCAGACTAGGCTTGAAGTCATAGATGTCTGCCTTCCTCCACCCCCAGAGTGCTGGCATTGAAGCAGTGTGCCACTAGCTCATCTTTATTTAGTTTTCAAATAACAAATAAAAAAACTTAACAGGTTTAGAATGATGTATAATTGAACTAGACATACTTTCAGGTGTGGTACTAAGCATTTTTTTTTAACACGCTAAGTCAGAAATTTGTGTCTTGGTCACTTAATAGCATATGTTATAGAGAAATGAAAAATAAACATTATGTAAACTAGACATAGGATTTGAAATGGAGAAATATTTATGTATGCTAGATAATATACTAAACTTTGAAAATGTTCTTGTCTTTTCCTTGTTTGAAATGATGTATAGAGTCATTCTAAGTATTTTACAGGAAAGATGATAAGAGGGGATGGAAATGTAACTCAGGATTAGAATACTTGTCTAGCATGAATGAGGTCCTGTTTTGATCTTTAGCACCATGAAAGAAAAATGAATAAGAAAGAAAAAGAATGGAATATGTATGGAAGGAGAAATTGATTTTAATAAATAAGATCGTTTATATATGATATTCATTTTTAGGATTCAGACCGAAAGAAATGACTATGGCAGTGAAACAGACTTATATGGACTTGTGTCTAACATTTTGGAAGAACAGGATAAATCACAGCCATATTTTGCTGAAGGGTTAGTATATAAGCTTTATAGTGTATAATGGACCTTTTCATTGACATATATTAGGTTACCTTCTTTTCTAAATTTTATTTTTATTTAACAGTGGATCATAGAATAGTAGGTATTTTAAAGTATTTGTTTCTAGGAGCCTTGATTTTGCTGAAGAACTTTCCATACAATTGAAAGTTCATTCTAATATTTTATTTGCTTAAAAATGTTGATTTGAAAAAATACTGTTGCATAATTCATAGTTATTTCCCTTGAGTTCATGAGCTAAAGTTTGGCTTCAGAACATAAGTTCCAAGAAGCATTAAACTTAGACCTTGAAGGATAAAACTCAGTGCAGAAATACATACAGATTTTATTCATGCAGTAGAGGTTTTAAAATGTTCTAATTGTTTTAAATGGGTGTGGAGTCCATAGTACCCAAGTGCCCTATTAATAAGAAAATATGTCATACATGTGTAACCAGTTGAAATACTTAGGTTCAAAAATATTTTAAGCAAGACACATCTTTTTTCATTAAAAATTTAAAAACACACTTTTGAATTATATAATAATCTATTCAAAGGAAAAACTTACTATCTGCTTAGTTTAAACAATTCATGTAAGACCCTAAAGACCACCTCAGACCTTGGTTAATGACTTTTGGAAAAGTGTGGTGAAGATATTAAAATTAAAATGCATATACTCATGCACTGCTTAATGATGGTGACAGGTTCCAAGAAATGCATTATTAAACTATTTCACTGTTACTGGAATAGCCCTTACCCAAAGCTAAATGGTATAGGCCAACCATTCAGTGTAACTTCTTGATATAGTCAAAAGACACAGTAACTGTGAAGTGGTCTGAGTGGGTGCACATGTCTGTAATCTCAGTTTGGGCTGAAGAGTACAATCCAGAGTAGAAGGCCATCCTGGGCTACCTAGAGGGTTTAAGTATTTGAAGTTGGCTTTGGCTGTATAACAAGACACTGTCTACAAATATACAAACAAAAGTCAAAGAGAGATGAGAGACAGTGTAACCATAAAATACATAGGGCTGCTGCTAGTGTAATGACCATTTTACAGTTAACTTTTTTTTAAATAAAAGACAATAAAAATATAGAGGTGCTGGAAAGATGCCACAGTGGTTAAGAGTACTTGCTGTTCTTTCAACGAATCTAAGTTCATTCTTCAGCATCCATATGAGATGGTTCATCACCTTTTGTATCTTCAGCTTTAGAGGATTTAATGCCTTTGACCTCTGAGGAAACAACACACATGGACATACCCACATGCAGATACATACACATAAACATAATTAAAAATAACAAAGACAAATCTGAAAAATTTAAGTATACTACAGTAAGTGCATAAACTAGTAACATAGTCATTATCATCACCTAATATTATATATTACACATAGCTGTGTCATATACTATTAAACAACTAGCAGTGCAGTAAACTTGTTTACACCAGCATCACTATGCCACTATGTTCTGTTACTGCTTCACATTTATTTGACACACAACTCCTTTTTTTAAAAAGATTTATTTATTATGTGTACAGTGTCTGTCTGCATTTATTCCTGCAGGCCAGAAGATGTCACGAGATCTCATTATAGATGGTTGTGAGCCACCATGTGGTTACTGGGAAGAGCTGCCAGTGCTCTTAATTTCTAAGCCATCTCTCCAGCCCCTGGCACACAACTCTTAGAGTAGATAGCACATTCCGTATGATTGACTTGTTTGGAAGCAGTGATAGTTTATAAGAAAAGGTTGAGGGGAGGCTGGAGAGATGACTCAGTGGTTAAGAGCACTGGCTGCTCTTCCAGAGGTCTTGAGTTCAATTCCCAGCAACCACATGGTAGCTCACAACCATTTGTATGAGATCTGGTACCCTCTTCTGACCCGTAGGCATCCATGCAGACAGAATACTGTATACATAATAAATAAGTCTTTAAAAAAGAAAAGAAAAGGTTGGGAAAGATTTGTGGTGTTGGGTAAGAGAAATGGTTTTTGTTTTGTTTTGTTTTTTGAATCTTCCCTAATGTTTACAGAGGCAATAAATCTCTAAGACTTAAATTGTAATTAAATGTGTTTACTTGTTCTAGGACCTGCTCCTCCAATTTAAAGTCAGTTTGGCCAATGAACACAAGCAGATTTGTAGATCACCATGACCTCTTAACAGAAACCAAAAGGCCAATAGATACAACTATCTCTCAGCAAGCTTTTTATAGTGGTGAATCTGTGTCAGCAGTGGAAAAGCAATACTTGCATAATAATAATCTCACACCACAACAAAAAATAGATGAACTTTATCATGGATATACCGGTTTAGACCTTGAAGAACAATGGTTGTACCTCTCAAGAAGTGATCATTCTAATTGTTACAATATTCAGACAAATGATACAGTTAAGGCAACTTTCCAAGAATATCCATTTATCAAAAACTGTTTTACACCACAAACAGGTCTGTCTGATATCATGAAAGAATCAGGAATTGATACTTACTCTTATGGAAGAGAGAAAATATGTGCTAAAGGTCTTGAAACACCATTGCAGCATAAAAGGGCAGAGATATTTCTTTCCCAATTCAATAGATATAATGAAAATGCTGATTATTGTAGATACCCAGAATATGCTCATCCTAATAAGGCAAAGCTTAACAAATGTTCAAATTTTAATGTTCAAGATGGTAAAAAATTAGCCAATGGTACACCTGAAACACCAACTGTGGAAGCAGAAGCCTATACAAAGTTATTTCAAGTGAAACCAGCAAATCAGAAAAAAATGGAGGAGACAATACCTGACCAACAGAATTTTGCATTTCCGAAAACAACACCACATCTGACAGAAAAACAGTTTGCAAAGGAAGCAACATTCACTGCTGATTTTGGCTTAAAATCAGAATATGGACTAAAGTCTCACACAGCTTGTCCAGCTAATAATGATTTTGCTAATGTCACTGAAAAACAACAATTTGCTAAGCCTGATCCTCTAAATTCTGAATATTTTAAATCAGTGAATTTATTCTCAAATTCAGCAACATCTTCAGGAGGTATCAGCTTAAACAGACCAACTTGGATAAATGTTCAAACAAAAAATAACCTTCCTATTCCATATCGAAATCAAGGTAACTTGATGAAATTAAATAGTCATTTAAGTGCAGCTTCAAAAGGTTCTAGCCATTCTTCAGATTTCCCCCAACTATCATCTACAAATTTAACCTCAAATAGCAATTTATTTCAGAAGTATTGCCAAGAAAACCCTTCAGCATTTTCTAGTTTTGATTTTAGTTACAATGGTGCAGAAAGAATTCAATCTGTGAATCACATGGAAGGACTAACAAAAACTGGAGAAGACAATCTCTTTGAATCGGTTACAGAGAAAAAAATAAAGCAGCCGAATGGATTTTGTGATAGCTATTCAGCATCACAGTATGGGATAATAGAAAATGTAAACAAACATAATTTTCAGGCCAAGCCCCAAAGTGGACATTATGATCCTGAAGACATCCCAAAGCATTTTGATGGGTTACCACAAAATGCATATCAAGATCTGTTAGAGTCACAGGGTCATTTTAATAGCCACAGACAAGGAAGTGGAGACAGCAATATAAATAGCCGTGTGAATCGCACACAGGCCTCATGCTTTTCTAATAATTATATGATGGGAGATTTACGACATAATCAGGGGTTTCAACAACTTGGTTCAAATGGGTTTCCCCTAAGATCTACCCACCCATTTGGCCACTCAGTTGTTCCACTGTTGGATTCCTATGATTTGTTTTCTTATGATGACTTAAGCCATTTATATCCTTATTTTAATGATATGATGTATGGTGATAATTCCTTTTCTGGTTTTGTGCCAACGTTTGGATTTCAAAGACCAATTAAAACCCGCAGTGGACCAGCTAGTGAACTTCATATTCGTCTAGAAGAGTGCTATGAACAATGGAGAGCATTGGAAAAAGAGAGAAAAAAGGTATCACAGAACTATTCATGTAGAAGTAACAGTGTGTTCCATCTGCTTGTCTTTGTTTACCCAGTGTGGTTTAAGAGTATTTATTTCTAAGCTGAATTCTGTGATGTATTTAAATTATACCATTGATGTAAGGACTTAGCTGGGTCATTTAAAGATAGAAAGACCAGGGTTTTGAAACAATCGTTAATCTGAACTCTTTTAAAATTTTCTATGAAGTAGATTTTCTTTTTTAAAGTATTAAATTGTTGGAGAATATTAAAGTGTATATAAATATGGGGAAAATATTATGGTATTGTGATTTATATTTGGGTTTATCTTTTTTTGTTGTTTTATTTTTTTGAGACAGGGTTTCTCTGTGTAGCTCTGGTTGTCCTGGAACTCGCTCTGTAGATCAGGCTGGCCTCAAACATAGAGATCCTCCTGCTTCTTCCTGTCAGGTGCTGGGATTAAAGGTGTGTACCACCACTGCCCAGCTCAGTTTTTCATTTTCTAAGTTAGCATATGAATGTTGTTTATATTAGTTGTATTTTGATACCCAAACAATTTTATTTAAAGGGAAAATTTTTCTGTTTCTTAAAGCTGTGAAAGATATTATCCACTTTTTAAAATCTAGTATCTAAAAATTATTTTACAGACTGAATTAGCCCTTGCCAAGAATTATCCAGGAAAAAAAGTATCCAGTACTAATAATACTCCAATTCCAAGATTGACTTCCAACCCATCTAGAGTTGATCGCTTAATTGTGGATGAACTTCGAGAACAAGCCAGAGTAAGCTGTAAAAACGTCCAATAATGGTCTTTTTTAAATTACTTGATAAAAATTTAAAGGAGTTTAGCAAGTTAGAGTTGTGAAGAATTTTATTATCACATTTACAGCCAGGTGTGATGGCATACATATGAAATCTCTGCATTTGGGAGGTGGAAGCAGGAGGACAAAGTTTTAAGGCCAGCCTCAGTTATATTAGTGAGTCTGAGAACAACCTGGGTTCAAGACAAACAAAAAACACTGTAAAATCACTTACATATAGCTGAAAAAATTAGTGTGTGTGTGTGTGTGTGTGTGTGTGTGTGTGTATGTGTATGTGTATGTGTGTGTGTATGGATATTGAGGCCACAGGTCGACACTGGGTGTCTTCCTTAATTGCTTTCCACCTCAATTTTTTGAGTCACTGAACCTGGAGCTCACTGATTTATCTAGGCTAGTTCTGTGGTGATATTTTATTTGTGCTATAACAAAGCTTGCCTGAGGATCAGAGTGTGGAGCAAGCCACTAGTTAGCCATAGAGACTAGGCACTCGGGAGGAAGAGGTAAACGGATCTCTGTTGAGTTCAAGACCACCCTGGGCTACACTAGATTGATCCAGTCTCAAAGAGAAACAGAGCCAGATGGTGATGTCTCATACCTTTAATGCCAGTACTTGGGAGTCACAGACCTTTAATCCCAACACTAGGGAGGTGGAGCCAGGAAAGGATTTGGTTGGCCAGAGAGAGGAATATAAGGCAGGAGGAGACAGGAGCTCAAGGCATTCAGTCTGAGTACTTGTAGAGACAGTCTGAGGATTTTGTAGAGGTAAGAGCTAGTGGCTGGCTGCTTTGCTTCTCTGATCTTTCAGCTTTCACCCCCTAATATCTGACTTGAGATTTTTATTATTAAGACCAGTTAGGATTCAAATTAGATTAGTTTACTAGCAAAACTTAGGTATTCTCTTGTCTCCACTTCCTCAGCACTGGAATTACAGGTACACACCACTGTGTTTGGCTTTAAGAAAAAACATTAAAAAATAAAAATAAAAAGCAGGAGTGCTGGGGTTCTGAACTCAGGGTTGCATGCTTGCTCAGCTAGCACTTTACTGACTGAGCCACCTCCCCAACACAACTCAATCTCCAATACAACTCAAATACATTCATCTTTGGTTCTATAACTATGATGAATATTAGAGAAAGGCAAGAATAGTTCTATTTAGTCTTTTAATTTGTAATCATTTAGTAAGTAATTTGAGTGGGCTAGAGATAGCTGTCCATCAGTGTCAAACACTTATCCCTAATGTGTGAAGTCCTTGAGTTTCATCCTCAGCACCATAACATAATATTTTAGTAATTTAAAAAATCCTACTTCAGGGATGGAGAGATGGCTCAGAGGTTAAGAGAACTGACTGTTGTTCTGGAGGTCCTGAATTCAATTCCCAGCAACCACATGATGGCTCACACTCATCTATAATGAGATCTGGTGCCCAGAACACTACACACATAATAAATAAATTAAAAAAAAAAAGAATCCTACTTCAGCTGGGCGGTGGTAGTGCAAGCCTTTAATCCCAGCACTCGGGAGGCAGAGGCAGGCGGATCTCTGTGAGTTCGAGACCAGCCTGGTGTACAAGAGCGAGTTCCATGACAGCTAGGACTGTTGGATGGATAGACAAACCCTGTCTTGAAAAAATAAATAAAAAATAAATTTTTTTAAAAAAGAATCCCACTTCAAACTCATCTTGGCAAATAATCCCCAATGGAAAGAATAGTTTTAAAATCCAACACTTTAAAGTGCTTTAAAGCATGAAAGACGGCTCAGTGTGTAAAGGTGCTTAATGCCAAGGTTGATGACCTAAATTTGATCTCTAGAACCCACATGGTGGGTGTAAGAAGAAAACCAACTCCTGTAGGTTATTACCTGAATTTTAACATAATGGGGTCATGCATATGTATATCCACATACATACATAGAAAAATGTGTAGGAGCTGGAGAGGTGATTCAGTGGTTAAGAGCATGTGTTGTCCTTGAAAAAGACTCAAGTTCAGTTCACAGCACCCTCATAAGCCAGCATATCCATCAATTCCAACAACAGGAAATCCAGTCCCCTTTTCTGACTTCCAAGGGCACCTGCATTCACATGCACATAACCCCCATGTACATGAATACACACACACACACACACACACACACAAACAAATCTTTAAAAAATATTTAAAAAATTAAAATTATGACATTTCCATAATACATTTTACTGTTCATTGCTCATTACCTGCCCCATTACCTTCTTTGTCCACTTTTCCCTTTAAGTAATTTCTTAAATCCAGATTCCACATGATTAAAACAATGTCTTTCTTACCTCCATTACCCTTTTGAACCTTCCCTATTTAGAAACATAAATTTTAGTTCACTGGAGTTTTTGCATACTTTTTTTCCTTTTATCTATTTACCCCTCAATGATCTAACCGGTGTATAATAGAAGAAAAATATTTAAGACTGAGAACAGACTTGTTAATTAGTTTCCAATGATAATTATTCTACTTACTTGATAGTCACATGTTGATTAATCAAAAAGTTCTTTAATTTGCACTGTTTAAATTTTGAAACATGCTAGGCATATTAAACATACTCCCCATACTAATTAAACATACCCAGTGACATTTTAGTTTTGCACATGTATGAGAGTGTGGTTTACATGCATATACATGCATATATATGTATGTATGTAATTTACATCTGTAGGCCCACATGTGGGGGTTAATATGTATGTATGTGCAAGGACCTGTAGAGGCCAGAGGTTGGTATTGAATATCTTCCTTGTTCGCTCCCCACCGTATTTATTGAAGCAGGGTCTCTCACTTGAACCCATAGCTCACCAGTTTGGCTAATCTAGCTAACCAGTTTGCCCAGGGGATCTTGTCTCTGTCTGTGGAGTGCTGGTATTATAGGCAGGTTGCCAAGATTTACATATGAGTGTGGGGGATCTGAACTTTGGTTTTTGAACTCGTATGAAAACACACTTTAACAATCCATCTCCCTGGTGTCATCTTTATGTTTTGTGGGGTGTTTTGTTGTTGTTGTTGTTGTTGTGTGGTCTATGTCTCCCCTGCTCCAGACAGGTAGCCCTGGTTGTCCTTGAACTTGCTTTGTAAACTAGGCTGGCCTTGAATTTACAAAGATCTGCCTGCCTGTCTCCCAGGTGCTGGGTTTAAGGTGCATGTCATCACGCCCAGCTGTAGTTGTCCCTTTAACTCAAATTCTCCTTTAGGTGGTTCTTACTAACAGTGCTCTATTTATAGACTTGCCAAAAAAACATATCAAATCTTATCTTTGCACAGTCAGTAACATGACTGTGTTTAATATTTATTTTTTTATTATTGTTTGTTCTCAGTAATCAACTCCAACTTTTAAAACTAACATACACAAGCTAATTTCTTTCCCCTAGCATAGTGTTAGGACACAGTAAGCATTCGTTTATTTGCTGAACAATTATTGTTGCTTTCATCTCTGCTGTCTTCCATTAAAGACTCGTTTGCCTTATCAAGGTTTAAATGTTTCCTTCAGGTTGTGACTTTACTAGGCAAAATGGAACGTCTTCGAAGCTCTCCCCTTCATGCTAATATCTCTACTGCACTTGATAGACACTTGGAGTCAATTCACATTGTACAGTCACGAAGAAAGGATGAAATTGTTAATGCTTCAAATCGACAAAGACAAGGAGTGCCTCGGTGCCAAGATGACAGAGGTACAAATGATTTGTGGTTTGTTTTAATATTTTATTTATTTTTATTTTATGTATGACTGTTCATACATAAAATAGGGCATCATATCCTATTATAGTTGTGAGTCTCCCTGTGGTTGCTGAGAATTGAACTCAGGACCTCTGGAAGGGCAACCAGTGCTCTTAACTGCTGAGCCATCTCTCTAGCCCCAGAGGTACAAATGTTAATGCAAACTCTTTTGATAAAGCAGTGTAATAATTTGAATATTAATAAAGTCATACTTGAAATTAACAGATTGGATGCCTGCAGGCCAGAAGAGGGCACCAGATCTCTTATAGATGGTTGTGAGCCATCATGTGGTTGCTGGGAATTGAACTCAGGATCTCTGGAGGATCAGTCAGTGCTGTTAACCTCTGAGCCATCTCCCCAGCCCAAAAGATTGGATTTCTAAAATTAATATTTATTTAAAGAACAAATTAGCAAATGATCACATTATTTATTCCCAAAGTACTTTGTTCTCTTTTGTTAATTTTATACACTTAATTATATATGTCTTACGATACAGTCTCTTTTACCAAAGCATAGTTATTGCTATACAGATAAAAGAAAGTAACAATACTTTTAAGTATTTTAAAAAACAAAGTACTTCATTAGCTTAGCCATCACCATTTTTGTAAAAATTCTTGCTCGGGCTCCAAATAGAGGATATAGAGTCCTGATGTCTTTATGATTGGTAGAGAATACAGCGATTAACGAACATAGGTAAAATGGCTGAGTAAAGCGTTAGACTGTAAATCTAAGCAAAAAAAAAAAAGTTTGATCATTTAGTAGCAACAGCACTGAGTGACTTAAGATGTAGGGGGTATTTGAGTGAATAATAAAAAATAACTTTATTTATTTTACAGATGTTTTTGCTCTTGCTACAGCAATTAAAGAGATGTGTGTAGCTACTCGGAAAGCACGCACTACCCTATGGTGTGCACTGCAGATGACCTTGCCAAAAACAGCAAGTACATCGGGCCAAGCTGACATGGAAAAGGCTTTCCAAGATCTAGTAAACTGTGAAGATAAAGTCCATGAAAGCATAAATAGTAGCAATCCAATGAACCAGAGAGGTGAAACAAATAAGCATTAAGGAAATGCCAGCAGAAGGAAGAGTTAAAAAGCTGATAAGTAAATGTATCAAGATGTGCTAAAATTTTTAATGAACTTGTCAAACTTTCAGTACATTAATTTTCTTTCAGATTTAAAGTTAATACTTCAATGAAG